TTTCTCCTTCTTCATTTTCAACTCGCGCTTCTCCTCCAAAAGCAAAATGTCTGATCCATTAGGCATTTGCCTGGTCCCATAGCTTCTTACAGACATTTCATTGAATGTTTTTACTTTTGGCCTTCGCGCTCATTTACTTTTGATTATTCCCAATAATTCGTTTGATTGATGCAAATTGCTCCTCTACACATACATACACACACGGACATACATATAAGGGTGTATAATTCTATTTTTATTGTTATCATTTATCACAAAATTTTCAATAATGAAGCCTTGTCATCTCTCAGCTTTTCCTTCCAATCGGTGCTATAGCTTCTCCTTCACGCCCTCCTCTCCTCCTCTTCCCTCCACCTCCCTTCTTCCCTTCATCTGAGCTTACAATTAAATGCTTTAGCGACAGCGCATTTTCTATCGTTTCGCAGCTTGAAAGAGCTACTTCCTTAAAAGATTATTATGTTTCAAGGTAATAGGTCTTGTTCATTCTCTTTTACCTTCTACCGATTACCGGCTCTTACACCCCCTGCCGCTTTTGGTCACATTCGGGCCAGCATCTACATCCGGCGGCTGCCTTGAAAAGAGCTAAACTATTGAAATAGTATATAACAAGTAGATAGTTCAGACTTTAAGCTCGTATGCACATAGTATATAAACTATAAGAGAGTATGCAAGAGAAAAAGACGAAATAAAAGAGGTAGAAAATGCCATCGAAGCTTTTCCTCCCTTCTTTGCTTCTCGACCTGTTCGAACGAAAAGCTATTTCTTCAATCTCACTCACTTACTCTCTTCTCATCTCTCTCCTTCCCTTTCCCTCTCTATATGTTCAACTCTCCTCCTCCTTCCCTCCTTCTCCTCCACAACTCCTTATAACATCATATAAATTATTATTTTAATATTAATTTATATGATATAGCATAGTACTGTATACATCCATCCATCCATCTATATATATATTTCTTTATTTTTATTTATTTGTGTGAAGATGGAGTGAAGAGAGAAAGGAGATAGAGAGAAGCTGGTACTGGCTTGCTCAAACACAAATGAATAGATTCAAGTCATTTTTGGGATGTTTTGACATGTTTTCCTCTCCTCAACATATGCCATCTCTTCTTTTCATTTAATAACCAGTCAGAGGCATAGTTTATAATAAAAAATATTTGCTGTGCTTTTGACGTAAAAAATAAAAGAGAAGAAGTTGATGCTCAATACTCTTATTTTTGAGCTTTTCATCCAGCCTCCCATCTCTTTCTCTCTCTCTCATGCTCATTCTCATTCTTACCAGAGAGAGAGAGAGACGTCTAGAGAGAGATGGGTACCTCCTGTCCTCTCCTTCTCCTCATGTAGATGAAAAGACAAAAATGAATAATCTCATTTGTGAATAGAGAAGCTTAATTTTCTTTTCTTTTTCATTCTTTTTTTTTGTAAATAAAATTGATTTTTTGACTGATTTTTCGCTTTGCCTTTCCTTCTTCAAGTGTTTACCCGACATCTTCAATGATTTTTTTTTATTTTTATATATTCTTTGCCAAACGATAATAAGCTTCTCTCTTTGACTGTGAGAAATGGCTTGTGTGTTGTCTGTGTGTGTGTGTGTGTGTGGACATTCAGAACGGTTGCATTCATTCACTTTCATCTTGTTCTTCATGCTTGTCGTCCTCGTCTTCTTCATCTTCTGCTTTTCCCTTCCTCTTCCTCTTCCCCCCCCCCCACCCACCCTTCTCTCTTGTGTGCACATTACATTTTCTTCTACGTCTTCAATTATTATGTTTTGCCACATATAGTTATGTTGGTAAAATAAATTGAAAGAATGCATTGGTGGTGATGGTGGTGGTGGTGGAAGTCTTTTGGCAATCATCAAAATGCTAAGAAGTTCCGCTGCGTAATTTCCCTCAAATCAAACTGCTTGACTTGCATTCTGCCATAATCATGTTCTTCAACATGGCTTTAGCTAGTTTTAGGCCATCTTTGACACGTCTCCTTTCATTGTCTGAATAATGATCATAGACATAAGGAGAGATAGAGATAAAGAGAGAGAGAGAGAGAGAGGGAGATCGAACCAGAGAGAGATTTTTTGAACAATTGAATACAGGAAAAAACGTTTTACGTCTTCATCTTGTTCCTCGTTCATTTTTATTTTTCTGTCTGTTGGTACGCTTTCCTGAGCTTCTTCTTCTCTTCTTCGGTCAGTTTGTAGGCGAAGTTTGTGCCTTGTGTGGGAGAGTTAGCTTCTCTTTTTCGCTTACTGGATCAGATTACCAGGAATTGAATGACGACGGAATCGAAGCTCATGTTGGCCCGTAAGAGACGAACATGTTTGAAAATTAATTTTGTAATGAACATATGCATTATATTACCTTTATTTTGCATCATTATTCTGATTAATAAAAGTGAAGAGAGAGAGAGATGAGAGATGAGTAAGATGATTGGAGGTTGGATGTGAGGTTGGTAAGGTTGGTGGTGATGTTGATGATGATGACGATGATGATGATGATGATGATGGAAGATGAAGTGAAAGAATTCCATTTCCTAGCTTTCACATAGATATCTAGTAGAGAGAGTATATATAATATATCATTGGAAAAAAAGATGAATCGTTTTCAAGCTAAAGCCTAATAGAACGGCAGATGGGACAAGCCGGTCATGCCTTTTGGCCCGTCGTTTCTGATAATGGCGCTCAATATTAGTAATCCGTGTCAAGGAATGGCTTAAACGGGAGTCAGAGCCTTATATGGTGGCATACATAGATTTCCAACTCTTCCAGTTCTCTCTCTTCTTCTATTTCTGATTCTTTATTCTCTCTCTCTATCTTCAACTCGATCGTACTTCTACATCTCTCTCTCTCTCTCTTCTTCCCTCCCTTCCTCCTTCTCTCTCTCTATTTCTTTTTCTTCTTATATACTCACATACACACATACTTAAATATATGTAAATTTAGAGAGAGTATGAGAGACAAAAAGAGAAATGAGGGCGAGCCAAGAAAATGCGAGTGAGAGGGAGATTCTCTTGCTGCCGTCCTCACTTCCTGCCCATCAGCCTTCATATGTATGATATTTGCGTCTTGTGATTTGAATACATGCCTTATATGTATATATGATAGAATTTTCATTTTATCAGCAAAAAAAAAAGCTTGATGAGACTAGCAGACGAGCGAGTTGTCGTCTTTCTGATACCTCTCTCGCCTTGTTTTGGGGTTTTTGACGCTCGCTCGTTAATGTTTCCTTCAAGCTTGTTTTTACTCTTCACTTTCCACACATTGAAATTCGAAGCAAAACGATTGTCTTCTGTTGTTTTTCCACTTGCTGTTTAATTGCAAGTCGAAAAGCTTACCTGAAGTTTTCCCTTTTCTCAAATTTAAAACTGCCTCAGGGCAGTTTGAGATGTCGAAGAGAGGAGCAGTCAAAGCTTCAAATGAGCTTGTTGATTGTGTGAATTAAGCAGCTTTTTCATTGAAATATTGGCCCTCTTGAATATCATTTTAAGCTGTTAAAGACATGTTGTTGATGTCTTCTCGTGGCTTGTCCTCCTTCACTTCTTTTGCATATAACGATGAACAGGACATCTATGGCAAAGAGCTCTTATCCCCATCCCATCATAATCACATCCACTTCTCATTTCTTATTTCGATTATGCGCTGCTACTCCTTTAAGCTTATTCTCTACCCAATATTCTCTTTTCTCTCTCTCTATCCGTTTCTCTTCATATTCTTCAAATGCTCAGATTCATTTTTTGTCTCCACAACAGTCTTACTTCATCATCCTCTCTCCTCATGCTTCATCCTCATCTTTGCATCGTCTTCTTCACAGGGTCGCAACATCGCATGTACCAATCTCTTAACTATATGTATAATACTTATATATATAGATAGAGAGAGAGGAGAGCTAGCGATTTTCATAAAGTTATTTTATTTGAAGTTGTTGAAGCTTAAGTTATTTCCATCTTAAGAAGCCCTCTCTGTCTTCTTCCTTCTCCTCCTCCTCCTCTTCAGTTTGTTTTTTATTTTTCAACCATTTTTCTGTTTTCTACGAACGCTTTCAAGTTTCTTGGTGTCTTTTTAATCCAACCTGCTTTCTCCGGAAAGCAAAGGGTAGCCCAGGCATAGAGAAAGGGTGAAGGAGAGAGAAGAAGAAAAGAAAGCTCATACAGCTGAGAGACAAGCTTAGAAAAGAGCTGAAGCTCATTCACCTGCAGGCCTACATCCGGAGCAAAATCGTAATTTTCAGTTTTTGCGATTATGAGAGCTTTTTTCTTTCTTTCTGCCCTGCATTTTATGTGATTGAATTGGTAAAATTTTTTTCCTGAAGAAAATGGTTGTCGTTGGCGTCGTCGTCATCATCATCATCATCGTTCAACGCACTGCTCTTCTCTTCGTTCTGTTCGTCCTTTTTTGGCTGTGAATAATTCAAAGCTTTTCCGTTCTGTGACTTTGTATTCTCTTAGCCTCTTCTTCATCTTCTTATTCTCCTTGTGCTTCTACATCTTCTTCATCTTCTCCTTCTCCCCCCCTTCCTATTGCCAACGTCTTCTTCTCCTTATTCATCGTCGTCGTTCTCGTGTACATCTCTCTCCATCGTCGTGTCTTGCTTCTCTTCTAAACTTATATTTTATTTTTCCATCTTCAAGTTGTGAAAAAGCGAAATAATAGGATCAATCTTCTTCCAAAAGTAAAAATATCATTTTTCTTATCTCAAAAGATGGCTCTCGTCAACGGTTATCCCACAGTGAGTCGTCTCAATTCTATTTCAGAAATAAAAAAATATTTTTCTTTCCCTTCCTCCTTTCCCTCTCTCACTCTGCTACTCTCCCCTACCCAACAAAAAGAGGAAATTTTCAAAAAAATAGCAAAAAAAAAGAAAGATTCAAAAGAATTGAGCGAAAATTGAGGAAAAAACGACTGAAATTAGCTGCCGCTGCAGCAGCCAAGCCAGCCCAACCCAACCAGCCGGCTGCTAACAGCGGCAGCAGCTATAGAAAGCAAAACATTCATTCATTGTTACTTTCAGATGGTCACTAAAACAAAAAAAGTTTTTATCGGCGGACTGTCAGCTTCGTCCACGTTAGAAGATATGAAAGCTTATTTCGAGCAGTATGGAAAGGTTAGTTCATGTTCTTGTCTTTTCCGGAAGGGAGAGAAAGAGAGAGAGAGCGGGAGGGCTAAGAGAGGTAAGACGTCTTCGGATCGTCTTTCGTCTCTGAAACCCTCTCTCTCCCTCTCTTTCTCTCCGTCTCTCATTCAGAAGGTGCTAATCTATGATCTCTCTTGTAATTCTCTCCATTTGATTTGATTTCTTTTTTGTGCTATAAGAAAGCAGATACAAGCAAGTGAAATATCCATTTTTTTCAAACTTTTCTAGGCTCATCTTGTTCTTCATCGATGAGACGACGACGACGATTTGCCAATCTCGTCGTCATGCTGATTAAAGCGTAAAAACGTTTTTTCGTTGTAAAAAAAGAAATCGTAATGATTAGCTGACGTAGTAGTTGTTCATTGATCTGAAGAGAAAGATTTTCATTAGAAAAGTAAGATGAAATGGAGTGACTTTTCAATTATTATTTTGTTTTTGAATGTTCCTCTAATCTACAGAAGCTTAGTACTGACATATGGCTCAGATTATGAAAGCTCAGTCGCTTTGACCGCTTAGAACAATAGCCTTCTTCCTTTCTTTACTCTCTCTCTACTACCCTCCCTCGCCTATTTTCATAGTTTTTTTTTGTCGAAGAAGAAGAAGCTTTCCATAGACGTTCATCATCACTTGCACACCATACACACACACACCCACATAAGCATATACACGCAGAGACTGAATTCAATAGATCTTAGACTAGACTTTGACGAAAACATGCTCATCCTCTTTAACTAGCCACCCGGACATTTCAGTAATCGTTCTTATTTTCAGGTCGAAGATGCCATGCTCATGTTCGATAAAGCTACTCAAAGGCACCGAGGTTTTTATTTTTCTTTTTTTTTTCCAAAATTCTACGAAAGGTTCCGTCTCGCATCTCTCAGTCTCCAGATGCAATACTCTGCCCGTCTCTATCTCTCTCTCTCTCCATTTTTGTATTTCGAAAGAGATTCAGGAGCTTCCTCTCTCCTCTCTCTCTCTCCCAAACACTAAAATGGTCATTGAATTTTCATTTTTTCCTCTCTCAGCTCTAACAAAACCATTTTATTCATTCAGCTTTTTGTTCGATTGTTTTCAGTTGTTTTTTTGTATTTTGAAAAAGAAAAAGAGAAAAAAGATTTGAAACAATCGTGAGACTGAGGGGTGGGCAAGAGACGAGGGAAGTTGGAAACTAGCTAATGATCGAATACAAGAAGGGTAGTAACAATGTGAAAAATGTATTTTGCAGGATTCGGTTTCATCACCTTTGATAATGACGACGTCTCTGACAAGGTGTGCGAAATTCACTTCCACGAGATAAATGGAAAGATGGTCGAATGCAAGAAGGCTCAGCCTAAAGAGGTATCATCATCTGAGAGATGAGCTAATGAATTCATTTGTGTTCTTCAAGGTTATGCTTCCGGTACAAATGAACAAATCTCGCGCTGCCGCCGCTCGAGGTCTTTATGGTCTTCCGCCTGAGCAGCTTTTGGGTAAAAAATAAAATTTGTTATTTCCCTTGTTTATGGAGAAAATTCTTTTATAGCTTATGCCACTTATCTTCCACGTCTCAACTATGGAAGTCTTATCTATCCGAATCCGGGAATGGGCAATCGTACGTTATTACTTTACTCACATATTTCCAATGACCAACAGAATATATAAATGAAGTGAGGAAGAGAGATGACTAGTACAGCTTCTTCTACTACTTTCCTTATACTGTTTTGCGAATCATTTATCTCACACACGGGGGGTTTCATCTTCCAGGAGCAGCAGCTGCTCAACCTATGCTGGTAAAGTGTGGCTTGCCGTTGGATTTGGCAGGTTCATAACTAGCTACTTAGCCGTTTTGTGCTTTAGTCTGACACTGACTTTTTGGGTCATAAATCAGTTTTATTGTTGTGTTTTTTACTAGAAAACGAAAAAGCTTTTCCCTGAAGCCTATCCCTCTCTCTGCTAGTCGTCCTCCCTTTCTTCGACTCTTTTTTTTTTTTTTGTTCCTCGAAGAAAGAAAATGTTCTTAAGCCGTCTAGTGTCACCCATAGGGTGATTGAAATGAATCGTCACAGCACGCTGATTGATAGAAAACTAAATATGATTATGAATTCAATTCATTACTTTCATACATCTGCCGTTTTTCAGTGTACAATCACATTCCCAGCTATTCGGCTATGCCATCATCTCCTGGATCAACCAGTGGAGCTGCCAGACAAGGGGTGCGAATCATTCAATGCTTACAACGACTGACTAACTTAATGCTTTATAGGTTGAAACAGCTTCTTTGTATGCTTCCCTAGCTCAGCAATTTGCTGAAGGAAACTTTTACGTGTCACCTCAGCCACTTCAACCAAACAGCTATCACAGCAAGGTCTGAGAGGTAAGCCATTCTCATACATGATGCGCTCAACTCATATCCACCTCTTACAGATTACCACCGGTTTTGGACGTTAATCGTGTTCATTGTGTCCCTTCCTCTATCACAACCAACTTCAATATTAAAGAGAAACTCTAATATTTACATTCTTTTTCCTCCTTTTATTTTATTTTTTTTTTTGAATACAAAAAAAATTTGTGTTGTAAACATTTTTTGGAAAGTCTTGTGAAGTCTTTTCATCCAAGAGTTTGTAGTCAATCAATAGGATCCGTAGAGAGTAGTGTTTTCTCCAAATACTTTGATCGATACAGTTGATCACTTGTAAAATACTCTTCTTACCCTCTTTTCTCCCCTCCTCCTCCTCCTCCTTTCTCACACATATAGTTTCTGCTCTCTTTCTCTCTCTCTCTCCCTCTCTCTGTCTCTTGCACTGTCGTATTTGTTCATGTTTCTACATCTTAATAAGGGTCTCAGCGGTTTAGAATTCATAAGTTGCCTTCGTTACATCTGTTTGAATTCATCTTGTAGCGTTTCCCTGTCAACCCTTTTTCTCAGATTTGCAACTTTTCAATCCTCTCGCTGTATCCGGTGTATGTCATCTTCTACCTTTATAAGTTTAAAGTTCTCTTTCGATTTATTACATACACACAAAACCAAATTGACATCATCAACTTCTTTTTATTTTCGAAACTGCTGTTCAGTCCAGACGGGCTTAATCCGGAGATTTCAATCTGCAGGCATGTCTTCTAATGCTCTCGACATCTAAAGACATGCTTGGAACGATTAATCATTCCGTTGTACGGCCAGTCTTTCTGTCTACTCGTCGCCAACAACGGGCTGCTTTTTCGTTATTCTGCAGATTTCTCTCGTAACTTATTACTATCGAAATCGTTCAGAAACCAATATTTTGTACAGAACTTCTTCTCTCCCCAATCTTCTCTCTCTCTCTCTCTCTCTACACCTCTCTCTCTCTCTCTCTCTTCTCTCTCAATCCTTGTCCCTTATTTTGTAAACGTTGAAAGCGCAAACAATCTGCACAGTTTGCCTCTCTTGGGTCGAAAAATCATCTCTTTTCCCAAAAATGCGTTCTCTTTCAGAGCAAAGCAGTCTTCGGTCGCAGCGCGACACGTAGAAATGTACCCCGTTAACCTGGTCCATACACCCTTTTCCCTTTTATATAATTATTGTGTTTAAATTTACAAGGTAATTAAAAATTTAATTGCAAATTGATTCGTTCTACATCGTGGGAGGGGTTGGGGGGATGGTAATGGGTTAGAATAACAAGTTTGTATCAAAGTATCGTAGATGAGCTCTTCTCCAATGAGCTTACTAGTTGTAAACCAAATTCGTATTTTGAAATCGATGTCAAGGATGGTGGGGGACTCGTTCATAATTTCAGATGCTCAAACACTTCATGTACTAACACAATGAGCAATCAAGTAGATGTTCATTTTAAAAAATATATTTTTGAGTGAGCGGTCTCAATTAGTTTTCATTCTGTGAAGCTCCAGCAAAGTGAGCGGTCGGCTGCAACTTCAGTTAGAGAGACAAGCTTCTCCAACATACTGTTCGATTATTCTGTTGATGATGTGATATGCAGAGTGCTAGCGAAGTTTGGCACAAATCTTTGGAGCTGTTTGTTTGCAACCTGATCATTGAAAATGGTTTTGTCCATGTATTATACGGAATTAGTTCATTCTGGGAATATCATGCAAAATACTGAGTATTGTATTACAACGTTCATTCAATTGTATTCGGCTGAAATAGAAGAGAAACAGATTTGGATGTTCGGGACTATTCGGGGAAGCTAACAGTACTCATTCGGTTCAATTTGGTTTGCTAATGGTTGTACTTTGTATATTGGTAGATGTAGAGCAAAAAGAAAACTTTAAACTCCGCCCATTCATTGAAAGCCATTGGATGGTTGTGTTCTGGTGGGGAGAGGTTGTGTGTTGAAACTGTTTCGACTTCTAGTTTTTTCGCTCTTGATTTGCATCCGCTGGGTGTAAGAAGTGTTGGTATGGTTTATACTCATATCAGTTGTAGATTGGTTTGTGGTCCTGAGTTGTACATTCATTAGCTTTCTTACTTTATCCGTTATGAGTAGCCAAGAAAAAAAAATACTGGCAACTGAAAGGCTGAGTACTTCCTGAAAGACGTTTCGGAGACCTCTGGAATGAGTAGAGCCGTACCGAGAGGACTCCTTTGGAGAGTTGTCGACATTGAAAGAGACAGCACAAGATGCGAATGTTGAATTGGGAGAGGAGAGAGATAGGGAAACCTCATATAAAGAATGCGATCATTTTAATACGGTACGGTGTCATTTTAATATGAAAGAGGTTCAGTCCGTACTAATACATTTCAGGGCCCCGTCGATAGCCATCCGTATAAGTGCTTAAGCTTTAAGCTGTCTTTCCTACGTGAGGTAACTCCAAATCACTTGATAGGACTCCATAGAACTTCTCTGGTGAAGAGAAAGAGTAGAATTATCCTAATCGAACGTCATCATTGAATTCGAAGTTGTTTGAACAGAGAGGTTGCCTGTGAATAAATATTTTGGTTCGAATGTTAGTTCGTTGTTCACAGTAGCAGGATCTTCTATTCTGTTTTTCACTGAGCAAGAGAAACAAGCTTAGAAAGAAATGTTCCTTTTTCAAATTTTGTTCCGAGGCCACCTAGTCTTAACCCTCATTTATCCCTGAAATCCTGATCGCGTCAAGACCAATTAGCTGAAAACTTTTTAATTTTCTCCAAATATTAGATTATTAGCATAACTTTAAGCTTTTCCTTGTTCGATTCTTTCTATTTTGAATAATATCAGTTGTGAAATGGATTTAGGAAAGCCCTCCGTTGGCTAGAAGACAAGCCCCATGGAGTTCGGCTGTAACGAACCCGAGTCTGGCATGCCGAAGTCACTTCGATCGAATTGAAATAAATATTTTATTTTTGTTTGTGTTTTTCTCGTTCTAAGTTGGTGGAAGCCATTGTTACTTGTCGTTCTCTGGGTTGTTAGAGGTTAGATTGTGATGATTTGGATTTCAGTTGATAGTTCTGGAAGCGCTGGTTACATCTGTTTCTTTTCATCTCGATTGGTGGTTAGTCTGCTCACATTCATGTCTCTCTCATTTCAGGTTTCAAGTCAAAGGAAAGTTTATTGAAGTTGGACTACTATGAGAAGAGTTATAAGGTGTTGCCTGTTTTTCAGCCGCTCACTTGAAAAGAAAATGAAGAACAAACTGGGAAAGAGTTTTATTCTGAGCAATGATAATCGTGAGCGATCGTGCTATCGAAGTACCAATGACATGAATGGCCGTAACTCAGCTCAAACTTGATGGTTTGGAGGTTTCTTTGTTTTGTTTTAACTATCATTACCAACTTGAGGGATTGAGATTCATTGGAACGACGAGATGTTCTTTACTTGAGATACTCTGCAACTGATATATGCCGGCGCTGGTTTACTTTTTTTAGTTGTGAAGATTTCTTTTGCTACGTTCAGACATCTTTGACTCAGGTAACTCCCAGATTGATTGAAGATTCTTCCAGGTTGAACTCATTCTTGATATTGTCACTGTTTGCTTCATGAGCGTTTGTGAGTGAAAGTATCAGAAGGATGAGAGTGGTGAAGATCGGGGAAGAAGGATGGTAGTTAGAAATTGTTGTAGTGATAGAAGTTGTACATCTCTGGAAACCCAGAGACGAACTGTTATATAAGAGCCCTTCTAGATTATTATTGTATCTTTCGTGAGGATGAAGAAAGGTGTCCGGTAGGATATCAACGTTTTCGGTGAGTGTTCCGGTAGATAGCGTTCCTGTCAGTTCTCAGTGACGTTTAGGATTTGGAGGAGAGCTTAAAGATGAATCTGTGAACGAGAATGAAGGGAAACTATTCAGCGGTTTTGATTCTGTGTTTGTTTCAGTTCTTTGTTATGGAAGAGAGGAGCCTCTAGATGTTCTCGGACATGGAACTCAATCGTAAGTCTGAGTTGCAGTTGGATAACTTTGGTCCTTTTTCAGTCTATTGAAGATTGTTCACTGTTTTGTTACTACTTGTTCATCCCGAAACTATTCAACAAAGTGAGCGAGGAGCAGGTGCGATGACGACCTCACCGCTTACTCGAAAATGAAATGAAGAATGAACTAGGTAGGAGTTTTATTCCGAGCTCCGATAATTGTAATAAGCGGCTTTGCTAATGAAATACCAATCAATTGAATGGCACAGCGCTATTCCAATCGTTTCGATTTATCTTTGCCTTGTTTAGATTGTTAGAGCCAGCCCCAAATTCTGGATTTCTAATTTTTCTTGATTTGATTTCTAAAATTTCTAGATTTCCATAGGAAGTCGTTGAAGTGAATGAGTAGTAGGTAGGAAGGAGAATGAACTCATAGCTTCTTACAGGATTGACAAGCGCGAAGTAGTATGCTACTGTACGATGGAGGATCAACGAAGACTGGGCTGGTAGCAGGATCTCGCCTAATTCTAAGGACTTGGAAGTACTTCGTGAGTCTTAGTTCTTTCTTCCTTGGATTAACCGTTATCATTTCAGTCTATCCAGATGTGTTCACTGCTTTCTTGTCCTGTTAGGAGCTCTTCAAGTGAATGAGTAGCAGGTGAGAAGGAGGAATGAGTATAAGCTAATCTTTTCTTTCAAGATTCACGAGCGTGAGGTGTTCTGCTACTGTTCGATGGAGGATCAACGAGGACGGGGCTGGTAACTGCCAGGATCTCGCCTAAGTCAAAGGACTTGGAAGTTCATCGTACGTCTTAGCTCTTTCTTCCTCGAATTGATCGTTATCATTTCAGTCGATCCAGATGTGTTCACTGCTTCCTCGTCCTGTTAGGAGTCATTGAAGTGAATGAGTAGCAGGTGGGAAGGAGGAATGAGAATCAGCTCATGTATTCTTTCCAGATTTACAAATGGAGTGTAATCTGCTACTGGGTTGATGGAGGATAAGATCAACGACGATGGAGGACAAGGATACCCCTTTCCCAACCCTCC